GCATAAAGCTCTTTGAGTCCTATAGGGGAAGAGGTGGTCCCTTAGATATGTTGGTCCCAGGCTGTGTAAGGCTTTGAAGCATCTGTTTTTTAGGCAGAAGGTCCTAAGTTCACCTCCAGTTAATGCAGTCAGACAATAGACAATGTGAAAGATCTCTGCCCCAGATCTTGATGGTGAATAGCCAGTGTAATCCATTGGGCTTGTTGGGGAGCCTAAGGAAAAATTAATATCATAGGTACCATATTTCTAATATAAAAATGGAGGACAATGTAATTTTTAGAGAGAGGCTGATGATTGTACGAAGATTAGGAGGGTAATTATTGTCATGGACTTTTGTAACACAGGAGTTATATAAATGATCAACTATTGTTATTAAAATAACAGTTGTCAGATTAGTAATATGAATTGCCCGATGGCTTTGTTTTTGTGCTATTTGGCAAAGAAGCAAGAGATGGGGGGGAGGTCCCTCCAGCTGCCTTTTTAAAGTTAAACTGCTTAGGTGAACAGATCTCTTTTGCATAGAGTACTGCCCTTAGACCAGATGAAAAAATGTTGGACTCCAGCTCCTTGCTCCACAACTTTGCTGCTCATCCCACATAGGTGTCAGCATATTTTATTTCACGTATTGCTGTCTGTCCTATGAGTAAAAATTGGTTCAATAGATGTATGATAATCTATTTTGGCATTCACACCTTTTGAAAGAAGTATCTTCCATCCAGATGTGTTTTCCAAGCTAATCTGGGCCATAGCCCACTTGTTTTTTGAGTAGTCCCCATTAACTAAGTAAGCTCATAGAAGTAATTTACGTGGTCTGCTGATGTTCAGGAGCGATACGTTTTTGCCAACCAGTCTCTTCTTCATCCTTGCCATCTCCCAGGCGCTTCCTTTACCAAAAGGAAGTAGTTAAAGTCCAGCTGTAGCTGTGTGCTTAGGTCTTGGATGCATTTGTGCATTGTACATGTACATGTGCTTTCAAGAGACAGCTTTGATGGATTCTGGCGCTTAACTTCTTGGAGGGGGTGGTGGAATGGTATAATCAGCAGGAATGCCACGGAAGCTTGGTGAATAAATCAACAAGTAGAATTGCTCTTTGTAGTCAGGGAAGAGAATGAAGCCCAGCTGGCTTTCCTGTGGTTAGCCTTAATGTTACGGAGTGTGATAATCATTGCTGTTAAATTATGGATGAGGCCGAGTGGCAGAAAGGGGGAAAGTCTGCTGTATTTGTTGTCATTTAAAAAAAAAACAACACAAGCCAACACAAAAACTTATTACCAATAAGTTCTCCAATCAAATTTGACAGCAGGTTCAAAACGGAGCAGAATATTTTACTCCAAAGTAGCTTTTCCAATGTGGATCCTATGCCCTGTTGTACAGTGGCTACAGAGCATACAATCAAGCATATGGTTATCATTGCTACTGCAAGAAACCAATTTTGATCCCGGTCAGAATTAGACACGCAATAGGGACAAATGCCGGGTGGATTTTAAGGGTGCAATCACACGAAAACCTCTCGCAAGTGTCCCGTACCCGTCAGCAACCCGTATCGCCCGGCCAAAGAAGCGGAGGTAAAGGATATCAGGGGAAGTGCAGTATTTTCTGGAAAATGCGGGGCATGGGTGGGCGTCGGATCGCGGAAGCGCTGGTATCCCGTCGCATCCGGTGGCACGCGTGCAAACGCGGAACTGCGCATGCGCACAAATGCGCACTGCTGTTCGCCCTTCTTTGCCACGCTTCACCATCAACGTGTGATCGCGTCTGAGGGCATGTGCACGGAGCCTCGGGGGAAACGTCTGATCGCGATACCACGATTCCTTTTGCTCCGGAGCAAAAAGCCTTGCTTCGCCCCCCCCCCCCCGATTATCTCACTGGTGTGACCGGGACCTTTGTCTCCTTTGTCCTGAAACCACTCTGACCGAGTCCTGCCTCCTGTGCTTGAGGCATCAGCAGTTGCTGGCACTGCCGCCTTCAGACCAGCTCTCAGTCGTGTGCTGTGCTGTTGTGCCATACGATGGGCTTTTTTCAAGGTGGGTAAGCGGGTGGTAAACATGGGAGTGTGACTGCTGGTAGCTGATCTGCTCAATATTATATAAATACAAGTGGAGACCCGCAACAAAATGTTGCCTACTGTGTTCTAGTTGGGTCTCCACTTGTTCTCTTCCCCCCCCCCCGACTCTGAGCCCCACAGCCCGGAGAGGGAGCACGCCCA